TAGAAGAGTAAAGAAAAATGTCTACTAAATTTCCAATGCTAAAGAAAATTTGGTTTTCCGTATTTCATGTTTGTTTCTTTGCAAAATGACTGGATAATCATAAAGAAGTTGCAAATCAGAAAGTGGATCCATTTGGGATAATAACAGTAATAACAATGATCTTTGTTACTTGTTACATTTGAAATTTCCTTGACGTTGCCCGAGTTTCTGTGTTACCAAATAGGCATAGCGAATTGGAAAATTACGTTGTGTTTTCTTTTTATCTGATCATTTTGAGGAGATGTGCTATTGCTTGATATTTTATATGTTGTTGTTGTGCAGTTCTTTTACCTGGTGAAATTCTGGTATTGAAGGCCAGACTCATCAACTTAAATGGTATGTGGGAGTTGCATAAGAAGTGCAATTGTTCAAGCTGGGCATATAGAAGTGTTCACCCAAGGGAGGGTGCAGCTAAGCATTATCAGGAGAATTTTGCACGTGGGTCTTGGCTCAACTTATATAAGGAACCGTGAGTTTAGAACAAGTGTGAAGATGATGGTTGATTCAACAGCAACTGCAAAACGGGCATCAATAGTTGGTCTTCAGCCAGAGAAGGATGAGGATGGTGGATACGTTAGTGGAGGGTGGAAAAGGTGATTATTGATTTTTATGTTTATATGTTTTCATCTGTTGGCTGTGACAGTTTAGAAAATTTAAGCAAAAGAAGGATAGTTGTAGGAGAGGATGTTCATCCTAGGCACTAAAACAGCTAGTCCAGTGACATCTTGTTCCCCTCTTGATTGAGGGTCTCTTTATGGTTGGTATGGGTACAAAACATGCACTTGCTAAGATGTCAACTTGTAAGCATGTTTTAGCTAACTTGTGATGGTTGAATTCAATATTCGAGCATCTTGTTCGTGTTTGTGAACTTGATTAATGTTCTCAAGAGTGTGAAACATGTTTAACTAAATGTCAAAATCTGACTGGCTGAGTGGTTCCTAACCATAACAGGATGGTTAGAAATAGAACTCAATTCTCACTCACTAGATTCAAAATTTTGTTATCATTTTATTCCTTTTAGGTCAGTTTCTCAGGGAAATGAAAATTTTAAAGAGTCTGTTTCTCATCATTCATCATTTCTGAAGTCATTTTGGCTTGTCTTTCTTTTGCCTTGGAGCCTCATGGACATGTTTTATCTTTATGGATGACATTTGGAACAGAATGATGTAAGCTTGTTGAGGTTGTTTATTTTCTGACACTAGGAGCTAGTTGAACATTATGATGAAAATAAAGTCTTTTTATCTTGTTTCTTGTCTGATTGACAGTGAAGATGGAAGCCTGAGCTGTGGTTATTCAAGTTTCAGAGGGAAGAGGCTGACCATGGAGGATTTCTATGATATCAAGTCTTCCAAGATTGATGGGAAGAGAGTCTGCATGTTTGGAATCTTTGACGGTTAGATTTGCTCTCAGCATTTCTTGCCTTGGAGGGATACAGTAGCAGGTTTCCTGCCAAGTGTATAGCTTTTTTCCCAAAAAAATAGAAGTTTCTATTGTCTAAAAGAAAAATGTATAGTGAGCTGCAATTCAGGGACATGATCACAAGGTCCCTGATTTGGTGGTCGGAGGAATATAAACCCGGTAGAAACAGACATGGTTACAATTTCAATGTTGTGAATGTGCCATCTGGGTTGGTGTTACCACTGGTTTTGGTATGTCCATAACAAACTCATGACAGAATGCTATCGCTTGGGGCCACCTGTCATGTAGATGCTGATTGCAATCATTTTAGGGATGTCTGAGAATGTGAGTTAGGGTTTTGTAAGATGCTTATAGCCAGGGATTTATTCAAATAAAAATATAGCTCAAACATAGGAACGTGTTGTTGTAGAATATGAAATCTGGTGGTAAATGATAATTGTTGCAAGTTGTGGTTTTTTAAGAAGGGAATCACTAAATAAAGAGTAAACTGAAGGTTCAAGTAGTATGATCGTCAAGCAAAGTCCATATCCTCTTGTCAATAGAAGCTTATTGTCAATGAGAAGTATATCTAAATACTATCCATGAAATAGACAATTAATTCGATGTAGTATCTTTGATTTTCTGTTTCTTTTTGTCTAAAACTCCTCAGTAAATATTAATGCTTTATAGTTATGATTTATGGAATTAGAAACTTCTGTTGGAAAGGACTTTGTTATTGTTAACTTTTTCTTTTTACAACTGGATATATCATTACAGGTCATGGAGGTTCTCGTGCTGCTGAGTATCTGAAGGAACACCTCTTTGAGAATCTTATGAAGCATCCACAGTTTATTACAGACACAAAATTAGCAATAAGTGCGCTCCTATCAATAAACTACTTATCATGAAGTGCTAGATGATGTGATTATGACATATCCATTGTTCTTAAAGCTCATGCTGTACCCCAGACCATACAATTGTTAATATCTGTCTGGGCCAGATTCAGAATTTGCTAAGGAAAGCCTCTGGGATTTTGCATGTAGCCTTCTACTATTTCATATAGTTTTATGCGATTTGACATCTAAGCTGATTAAGTTTGCAGGTGAAACGTATCAACAGACTGATGTGGACTTTTTGGGTTCCGAAAGAGACACTTATAGAGATGATGGTTCTACTGCATCTACCGCTGTGTTGGTTGGTAACCATCTATATGTTGCCAAT